GGCCGGGGAGCAGCCGGAAATCGAACCGGCGCCGCAGAGGCCGCGGGCAGCTTCGCAACCCAGCGCTCAACCGCTGCGCCACCAGGGAGGCCCTCAATGGTCACTTTGGATTTGACCAAATGTCCACTAATCAACAAAAAGTGGGAGTTGCAATAAATGAATATGTCAAGGATTTTCTTAATCTAAAAAGAAATTGTCATTAATACTTATAATAGATCCTAGAGCATCTTTGGCAGGGCATGAACTGTGCTGTGTTCACCAAACCATTTTTACTTTCTTCCTGGCCATATACAAAATAACAGCAGATGTATTCCATGTCACTGCCAGACCCGGACCCTATGAAGTTCCACATTACCTTCCTCACTCTCCCTGTGCAGCTGGGAAAAAAGGTCTCCAATTAGCAAAGTCAAACAATGGAGACACCTAGGCCCCAGGCCACACTTGGAAAGAGGCTACCCAGATGAGACTCCTAATGCACAGCTGACAATGACAAGATGAATAAACTTCTATTGTGGCAAGTCACTGAGATTTGCTTTTACAGAAGCTAACAAGTATTACCCTAATATACTATCCCTTGCTAGCAATTGATTTTCCAGCCTTCCTTCCGATTTTTATATCCTTCCAATGAATTTATTTCCTATTTATGTTAGCCAGAGTCTATTTCTGTTGCTTTCAGGCATAGTCCCTAGAGGATCTATCACCAGTTAATAGTTAAAATAACCAGATAAAGAATTATGACCAATGAGATTAAACCATACATCTCACTTGAGACTGTAGATATTTATGGTATCAATACTCTGTAAATCAAATATTTACTCAGCACTGACAAAATTTAAGTCATAAAGTATTAGTTAGAGATGCTGCCCATTTATTATTTAAAAAATTCACTCATTTGTCCTTATTCTAGCTACTGTACTAGGCACTGCAGATATAAAGATAAATGAGAATTGGTCCTTGCCTCTGAGATATTCTGGGTCCAGTGCTATTGAGAATGCCCAGTGTGTGCTAGGGGAAATCAAGATAAGTACACATGCAGTGCCAGGGCCACCTCCCAATGAAGTCACACTAGACTATCAGACTGAGAGATTCTGTCCTTGGCCCTCTTCATTTTATATAACCTTCTTGGGTGACACAGCTATTCTACAGAATAGCTGATTTTTCAAGTCTATTATCACTCATGACTTTTCAAGTCTATTATCTCTAACCCTGATTTCTCCACCGAGTTTCAGCTAGACATCTCCTCCTTGGTGTGCCACAAGCACCTCACATTCATCATATCAAAAACTAAACTCATTTTCTGTCCCCAGACTGTGTCAACTATTTTTTTTAAAAGATTCATTTATTTATGCATACAAGAACTGGGGTGTAAGCCAGAGGTGAGTGGGGGGTGGGTGAGAGGATTCACCAGAGAGAGTGGGGAGAACAACAGGCAGATCTACTGAAATACACTGCTGAGGGGAGCAGTGGGCCAGGCAGGAGAGGTTTGCTGCACCATATGGGTTGCTCCCTGGCTGGCTGGAGATTGAACTTGTGCTACAGTGGCTGGCAATAGCTTGATAGAGCTGTCTTTAACCTCTGCGCCATCAGGGATGCCCCTGTATCAACTATTGATGGAATAGTGACTACCCGGATGGCCAGAAATCATGGCTGTTTTGGACTCATCCCCCTCGCTCCCATTTCCTTTTATACGTCTGTCACCAAGCTCCCAAGCTCCATCACTCCCATCTCAGAAATGATGCCACGCTGTCTCTGCTCAACTCACTGGTCTGGTCCAGAATCTCATTCCCTCCCACTGCACTGCAGCGCCCCCTAAGCGACCCTGCTGTTCCACCACTCCCCTCCAAAGTATTGTCTGCCCTGCTGCTAATTATTGTTCTGCCCCTGAGACCTCACTTTCATTCCTCGCTCTGTTAAACTTTCTTCATTGGCTTCCCAAAGTCTTCAGGATGAAGTCCAAATTTCTTAGGCTGACACTTCACACTCTTGCTCCATCAACTTTTCTATTGTCTCCTTGGAGGGTGCAATGAGAAAAAGAAATTCTTCTTAACAGCCTTTCTAATTTATCCCTTTAACTTACCTTTCGTTACTAAGTGATCATTTGAAATTACAGTTTTCTGATGAGTTTTGTGATCATCTCTAAGGACAGCTAAAGTTTTAATGCCTCTAAGCTCCATCAATGGTTTCTTCTCATTCTAGTGGGATCAGTCCCTTTAGCCCCAACCTACTGCAGAAGACCACTATTTGCTCACTCTGTCATTATATTACGCTCTTATAACTAAATTGTGACCCTTTTCTTTTGAGTCATGAGGATTGAATTCCTGGGAGGTCATTTCTTCATTTTTACAAGGTAGTTGTCTTTCTCCATGTTCATCTACCTTTTAATCCAGGAATTTTAGAATTGAAATAAAGCTCAGAAGTAACTTAAACACATTTTCCTATGCATGAATCCTGGTGTAGTAACTCGTAATGATTTTCCATCCTTTTAGGACATACAAATCTCTACTCCTGGGAAGGCTTGTTCCATCTTTAGATGAACAGTTCTTGCTTTATAGTGAAATGGCCTTCCCATATAACTTCTACTGCTCTTTCTAATTTTAACATACTACACAGACAGAGTAAGTTTCTGATCCCTCTTCTATCCAATTTCACTTCAGATATCTAAGACCTTCTCTTTCCATGTGCCCTTCACATATTCTAAACCTTTGTCCCTAGAAATCCTCCCAGTTCCAACCATTCTTTGTATAAAATTTAATGACTGAACCAGTGGCTCATGGTGGCTGTGATTAAAAATCGGTGGACCCAGCTCTACCTTCCCACTGAGGTCTGTCTCCTTGACGTTGACCTTGGAAATCAGGTTGCTCTCCTGCTCTCATAAAAAGAATACCTAATATACAGGCCTGCTGGAGATAACAACCAATTAGGATTTTTTAAAGTGTGGTGGTATTTTGAAAATTTCTATTGCTATAAAGGGGTGTCAAGACAAAGAAGAATCAGAATTTACATTTGGAAAGAAAATACAATACTTTATGCACCCAGAAAATTCTTGGAGATTTCAAACTAACCCCTTTAAAGAACTAACACAATTAGTATTGCCCTTTCACAAAGTTTACATGGCAGATTATCATGCTTGGAATATTTCTAATTAATGTGAAACACTGCAGATCTGTTTCTCCACCCTGAGAGCCCTAGCATGAATCTGTTTATCTCACATACATGTTACTCCTACTGTGTTGAGCTCACCTGCAGCTTCCCTAGTTTTCCTTTACGATTCCTTTCAGAATAACACTAATTTCTGTCCTTCATCTTTCCTCCTAACAGCACAGACCACCTTCATTTGAGCCTTCCTTTCCCCCACCTCTTTTTAACCCCGGAGACTTTAATTCTGACAACTGCATCTTCACTCAGCTTCTCTGTGTGTTTTGATTCACAGAAATATGCTTCAGATGCTTTGGCACATGGTGGAGAAACAATACTTTCACTCTATTCATTTTCCCACATTTGCAGAACTGGGACCAATTACTGAAAGTGGTTTTTACCTGTGCCCTTTGCCTACACAGACCCCCCCACTTCCCTACAAATGGCTGCTTTGGCCAAATAACTGCTTGTGATTTGCTAATTGCAGGCTCATTGCATCATTTGGTCTTTCAAACTTGGCCCTTAGAGCTATGTGATTAGGCAGGAATTTATCTTTTTATTCCCTTCTGATTCACAGAGTTGATTAAGCAGATCTCAAATCTGATTTCCCTGTATTCTTTTACAATGTCAACATAAATATTTTACTTTATTTCCTTTTGGGTATCTGTCATGTTTCCCATTCTTTTGTAAATCACAGGTGGTTATGTTTTATATACTGGACTCAAGGAATATGCATTTGAATTAAGTCAATCTCTAATAAACGTTAATTATTAATTATTAATAAATAATTATTATCTTAATCCATTTTGCAAACTATAAAATTAAGGCAGCAGAACAGCTGATTTGCCAAAGTCACACTGTCGTGATAGAGTAAAACTAAGAATCGTAAATACCTCTATCACTTTGTGCACTGTTTTTCCTACATAAGGTAAAATTTAACCTCAAACTCATTTGCCTTTAAAAGAAAATATCCTTAAATATTCCCCCCAATTGTTATTATCTGGTTTCTTAGATGCACAAAAAATAATAATAATAATTTCCTTTTGAAAAATGGCTTCAAGGGCTTACCTTTTTATCATAAAATGAATGCAGTTTCTTAATTTCTGCATGTTTTATTTTGATTTTCTTGTTCAACCAACATTTATAGAACACGATATATGTGCCCAATTTTCAGTTTCATCCAAGGAGGTCATTTCCCACTGACATTCCTCCAATCCAAAAAAGAGGTAAAGTAGCCAAAAAAGTAATGAGTTTACATTTACAAAGAAATTAATATTAATGAGGATTAGATACATTTGCTTTGAGAATGAATCACACACTTTGAGATTTCCAGAAATTCTCTTTCCAATTAAAAACTACCATACCTTCCCCACAGCTTTTTTCCACTAAGCACCTTTTATCATTAAACTCTCCAGTTTGCAGCCATCTTTCCTTCTGAGTGTCTCAAGTGGTGGTAATGGAATGGGAAAAAATTCCTGGTCTCTTAGGAGATCCTGACACACTAGTGAATTATTGCTCTGTAGTCTCTACCCTGCTTCCAGCCCCTGGCATTGTCGTCAACAATTAGCATATAAAAAGGAAAGCAAAGAAAAAGAGCAAGAGAAATTAGGGTTAAAGTTGCAAGTAGCAGGGAAGAAAAAAATTTGCTAAGAAAGCAGAAGAAACATTCAGAACTACGCTGAAAGGGAGCCTGAGTCTCTAAGAAACAGGATATAGTAAATATCTTGCACACAAAAAGGCACATTTGAAGACAGATTTGTCTGTGCACAAAAATCAAAGGCTGTGTGTGCGACCTGTGGACACATGCAGGGAGGAGAACCAGGGCTGAGGTCTGAGAAGAGAGTGGCGCAGGTGGGCTCGCTTACCCAGCACCAGCAGTTCCACCGAGTCCTCGTTTTTACCCTCCAGGTCATCCGGGGTAGTGATGATGCAGTAGTAGAGTCCGCTGTCGCCCCACATGAGCTTTCCAATTTGAAGATCAGCATCTGTTATCATACAAAGAAAGACCCAGTCCCAAACATGTCCTCTCAAAGGAAAACAATGACTAGCGGAGGAGAGAGGGCGACTCTGGGGTGTCTGCGGGGTTCTATTTCTCTACCTGGATGATAATCAACAAGGTGTTTGCTTTCTTTAAAACACACACCTGACAGAATAAATAATGGAAAACCAACATCCTCAAGGTGAGAGAATCAGAACGTCACAGAAATTGGTTAGGGCCGGTCCAGTTTCAGGGGTAGAAGGTAGAAGGGTGCTTCCACCCAGGTCTCACAGGCCCCTGAGAGCCAGATAAATTCCAGAACGACTCTGAAGTGCTGGAAATGTGTTGACTTCACAGGAGTTCTTCAAAATTAAAAATTTCCAGTAGGTCCTATGAGACTCTCTTTAGAAAAGAGGAACTCTCTTTAGAAAAGTCCAAAGCTAAAGGGAACAGGAGAAAGGTGGGCTATAAAAGCACATGGGGCTTGGGCCAGGGCATCTGTCTGGCTCTGTAACTTTTATGCACACAGCCTTCCCCCACCAGAGAAACTTCTTAGGGAAGTCTGTTCTGAGTTTAGGAAAGGACCACAAGGTTGATGTCAAGGTATGGGAATTTAAAAAGTTCTTTACTAGAATCTATTTCCATTCAGTTCTGATAACAAGTTCCTGAGCATAGAGTTCAGACTTGGGAATGACTATTTCCAAAGCTCACCTCTGGTCTTCTCTGGATACTAACCCCTTTACCCTGCCTCCCGCCCCGCTGCCTCCCTGCCCCATCCCTTTAAGCAATATGCTGGGTTTCTTGATGCTCCTATTTCCTGTAAAATCAAAGTCCGAAGGAGTTCAAAGAGTGAGAGGCTGCCATCTTCACTTTTCTGGGAAGAATATAAAAAACCCTAGGTTCAAAACAGAGGCATTATTACCATGAACAATCGTGATCTCTCTGCCCCTGTAGAAATCTCCCAGGGTGACGGTTGAGCCCTGTTTTGAAGCTACCACTCGAACAGTCCTCCTGCTATCCAAACAGTCCAAGTAGGGGTCCCACTCCAGGTTTCTTTTGCTGAGAGACTGGGACCGAGGAGAAGACATGCCCAAGGATTCCCCCATCCGGTCCTGGCAGTAGGATTTAAACTTCCACTGCACAACTGCGGGCTGATGGGAGGATGTGGAGAAGTGGCAGCGGAGCACAGTGGGCTGGAAGAGCATGGCCACCCTCTTCTTGTCGGGCACTGTGACCTGAAGGCCTTCTGCCACGCCTGCAAAACAGAATGAACATGTCCAAATGGCATCTATATCCCGCATACGACGTCACGCCACATAATCATGCCTTTCTGCCTCAGCCTACTAAGATGTCAGCCTTCATTTTTTCCATCACAATCAATGGCATCAATACCACCAGATTATTCAGAAGGTTGCCTTCACCCCCAATATCCAATCAGCTACTAAGTCATGTCAACTTGATCTCTAAACATCTTTACTGTGTCTTCTTTCTCTTGAACCCCACTACTAGAACTTTTGTTGCTGCCCTCTTCATCTCTAGCTTGTAATATTACAATAATCTTGTCTGATTTCCCTGACATCAGCCTGTCCATAGCCAGTACATTCTCCTTACTATATAGTTCAGATGATTTTTCTAAATCTGACTCTGATGACTCCTCTCAAAACCCTTCACTCATTCTCCATGGCCCTCAAGATAAAACCCAAAGTTCCTGGCAAGGCACCTGAAGTGCTCCATCAACCTTCTCTGTCTCCCTTCTTGAAGCACCTCTATTTGAAGGGTAACCTCCAAGAACACCAGGCAACCAACAGTTGCCCCAAGTGGAACATGCTATTTCACACCTCTAGATCTTTGCATATGATCTTCCTTGTTCTGGGATATTTTTTCCTTCTTTCCCTGAAAAGCTCTTTTCCATCTTCTAAAGCCCAGTTCAAAGGTTTTTGTAAAGTCTTCTCTGACCAGTTCATCCATTTGTCACTTCCTCCTTTGTGCCATCACTATACCCCACATTCTACTTAACATTTATCATAATAATCTTGCAAGTATTTATTTTCATGCCTGTTGCCCTCATCAAACTTGTCAGGTCAGGAGTGCCTCTTCTTATCTTGCTGTCCGGAGTTGTGAAGGCCACACATACTTAACAAATATTTGCTAAATACGGACAATGAAGTCAGAAAGTATGACTTCGGGAGGAAGTGACTTTCCCTCCAGCTGGTGACCAAGCAAAGGGGACAGAGATGAAGGGGAAAAGAAGGCTTTGAGAGAATGGAGAATTTCAGATAAAAAGTAGTGGACTAGGTTCAAAAGCTTTGAAGGATAATCAAAAAAGGGGGGAGGGGAAGGCTAGAAAGCAAATGGGGAGTTTAAGTGGTGAAAAGATCCAACCTGAGGCAGGTGTCCAAGAAAGAGGGAAATTTCAGTGAATGAAAGACCAGGGGAGTGTTTGAAAGGCAAAGAACCTCTATGAACTCAATGGTAAGATCTAGAAATTCTAAGCAAAAAAGAACATAACTTTCTCCGTTAAATGGGAAAGTCAAGAGTTTCTAGCTTGATGTGAGGTTAGAAGAAGAAAAAGAATTGTGATGAAAGGCAGTAAAAGGACTATAAATAGAAAGACAGAATAGAGAGGTTCTGAATTGAATCCTGAGTCTGCCAAGTCAGCTTTAGGTAGCTTGAGGCAGAGTTTCACCCTAGAATTACAGAGTGGACTTGAGACATCCAAGAAAGATCCAGTTTCCAGGAGTTGCCTCCCCATTTCACAATGACACCCTGCAAAGCACACTCACTTGTACAATACAAACACTTATTCATGAATGTCTCTTTACACTAGCTCCCTGGACAAGGGAAGGACCATATTTGTACTCACATCTAATTTCCAAGCCAGTGCCTCTCTTCAATGAAAGCACTATGAAAACTTACTGTAATGCCTAGTAGGAGAATCAAGTTTCTGTATTTTGTGGAATTGGGAAGTGAATACAATAGTGTATCTGAAATTCAGCAGATCTTCAAGTGTTTTGAAATTGCCAAGCACTCAATAGCTATCTTTGGAATAAATGAAGGGATGGATAACCAGGGAATTTCTTTGTAGGGGAAACTAGTTAAATGACTCATAGATAGCATGATAGAGTAAAATAGTTCGGTATCAAATAGGCAGGGTTTTGAATCTCATCTGGCCATATACCAGCAATGAAGCCTTCATGAAGCCCCCTAAGTAATCATCACCTGTAAAATGAGCCTCCTGATCCTTACTCACAGGGTTAACTGCTATTATCTCAACAGGCTGAAAGAGCAGGGCACTGTGATCATGCTGGTAGAGGGCAGCTCTCAAATACAATGCTCCCTCACCTTCCTACTTGATGTCCTGAGCCTCTATAATCATTCACCAGCGATAGATTTGATTACAGTCAGACTGTATAGATCAGCCAATAGAGAGGCAAAGAATTTCTGTTTGGAAGTTAACGAAGAATATCAATTCCCAGGTTCTAGTACTTCCCCCCAGCTGCCCAATGTCAATGTGGCTTATTCCATTCTCCCTAACTCACATAGCTGGATTAGGGAAAGAAATTTCTTTACAGGTCCTTCTTAAACTCTACTGCATTAATTTTTAACCTTGTAGTTCTTCTTCTAGTCTTAATTCATGCCCCAGTTTTCCAGGTAACAAAAAAGGACAGAGTGGGAAGTGACTTCAGTTAGCTATGGCTGAGGCTGGACAACTAGTCATAGGTACTGTTACCTGTACACTGCACTGCATAACTATGGTTCAATCAATGATGTGCCATGATGGTGGTCCCCATAGGCTACACCATTACATCGGCCTAGGTTTGTAGTAGGCTGTACCATTTAGGCCTGTGTAATTATACTCTGTGATGTTCCAACAGAGATGAAACTGACTAACACAGCATTTCTGAGAATGAATGTACAATGCAGTGTATGTGCTCCCTCCACCTTCCTTCTCCATTACCTATTTATGATCTACCTAAGAAATCACATTTCTAGCCTTTCCTGGATAGGAAAACCAACAAAGGGGGCAGGTGTTACACAAAAGTTTGCAGGTTTTTTTTTCCTTTGAGAAAATGAAGTATGAAGTTTTTTCACTAGATGGTTACTAAGAAGAACCTCCTTCCCAGCTCTGTTAATGAGATTAGCCATTTGTCCAAACCATTGGACTGCCTTAAACAATTATTTATAGAGGCTAGTCAGTTCTCCACTTCTTCCATGACATACACATAAATTCAGGTTCCAAAGAGTAAGCAATAGATTTTCTCAGAACCATCTGCCTTTTCATAGGGCGATAGCCAAGAGCATGGATATTGGAATCAGTCTTAAATTAGAATCCAAGCTCTACCACCCGCTAGCTGCATGACCTAAGCCAAATTACTCAGTTCTTATAAGTTTTAGTTTCACTGGTAAAACCAGAATAGCAACTACCTTCTGAGTTGTTTAAGGGTTAAATAAGATTTTTATTCTAAGCATGTAGGATAATATTGGTATACAGTAAGCACTCAATAAATGTAGTTGTTGCTGCTGGTGTCAAGAATAGTCCACTGACTTCTGTGAAGCTGTGAACCTGGAGCTGGGTGAGCACAGAAGCAAGTGTGAGATGCAGAGAGTATAGAGAGCAGAGTGGGCAGAAAGTGCATAGGGATCCTAGAACCCGTAATTAGGAGTTCAACAGTACCGAGCTGTCACTACACACTCACAAACATACCTCCCCAAATTCAGAAATGGAGGGTAAACCTGAAAGTGTGCCCACGCGTGCAGGTATAATGGGAACCTTGAGACTCTCAGCTAATGGACAGATCTGGATAATAGGGAAGCATGGGACTAGGAGTTTCAAGGAAATGTCAGTTTATTGGGTCTTTGAGGAGCATGTGAGTGACAAGTCAGAGAAATATGAAAACGACACTCGGTAAGTTTCAAACTGTAGCATGACTACCACCCAATTCCAATTAGCAACCCCATTCCCGTTGGAAGCTGGTGTGTAGAAGTGCTCTTCTGGCCCTAACTGGGTCCCAGGTGAGGACTTGGGTTCCTTATAACCAATGAGCAGCATCTTTTTTTATATTTAACTTGACAGTGTTTCTACCTGGTTTGCAATCCATTTGTCCTACTGGGACTGAAGCTTGCTTGGCACCACTTGGACCTGCTTGCCCTGTTACCAGCTTCTCCTAAGGGGTGGGTATTATTTCCTATATCCTTCATGCATAACTGATCCAAATCTGAAACTGGTGCTGCTACCACCCACCTTGGAAAAATATCTCTCATGAGACCCCCCCAACTCACACCCCAAATTCAAGTTCCTTAGATATAGCAGCTAATTCAGGGCAGATGGGGGTAGCTAGCCACCACAGTCACTGAGATCTGGACTGGGAACAGTGGTTCGCTAGCTCCCACTCTTGAGCTACCTGCCCTGCGGCTAGGTTAGTGTTCTGAGCTTGGGTTCTGCCTTTTAAAAGTTTTTTTTTTTTTTTTTCATTTTTATTTCACCACTGGTCAGATGCCAAAACCCTGGTACTTCTTCCGCTGGAGTCTATACAGGCTAATAAGAACATCTGTGAATGCCAAGTAAATAAAATGTTTCAGTCTCCTTGCCCCGTGCATCTGATCTAAGGAATCTTATTCTCCCAACTGTCCGGCTCCCAGTGATGTCTCAGACCCTCAGCTCCCCCAAGCCTCATCTATCTCCATGTTCCATAGATACATCAAATTAAACCTAAGCCTCATTCACTATCTTCCCTTTTCACACATCACCTCTTGCATAAATCCGTCCTTCTTCTCTCTCTGGCCATTACTCCCCAGTCCTGTCACCCTGGCTCTGCTGATGCCCCATCTCTGACCACATATGGTTGGTCTCTAAGTCTGAATGGCTCTCAAACCTGGCCTTTCCCTATTCACACTGACATTCCCTTAGATCAGTTTCTATTCCTGCTACTAGATAACGGTTATGAAATACCACACTTCAGACACCGGTAAGTACTTTTCAGGTAGTATTTTAATGAATTCTCTAAAAAACCCTCTAAAGTAGGCATTACTTATTACACTGATTTTACAGATGAGGAACTGACTTTCAGAGAATGTAGGTATTTTGCCCAACATCTTGGGATTAGTGAGTGCCGGATTAGAACCCAGACTCACTGGCTGCAAAGCTCTATCACTTCTTACAGCTTCTCATCACCTCCTCAGTTTATAAGCGCCTCCTCCTTGGTCTCCCTTCTTCCAGCCCAATGCATTCTCCACACTGCTTTCCATCTAGAATAT